ACTTCATCGAGACTAACATCAAATGTAAGAAATCGACTGCTCCACTTTGAACTACCCAATTTACTTTCGTGGGTAAATATTTCTCATCATCTGTCGGATTTTCTAAAGCTGCGGTCAGCCTGGACTTCAAAAAAGGTGTAACAGGATGAGGTTGCTGCGCGATTTCTTCCAAGCTGTTGAACATCGCGGACTCTGAACCACCGGTCCATTTACCTTTTTCAAACATCACCGGTAATGGTTTGTCGTATAATTTTGATATTTTGTATGCCTCGTATGACGAATAATCTTTGTCGGTAAGTTTAGTAGTATGTTCAGGTTTCAATTTAAAAACCTTTCTGCCTTTCGTCATGGCAAACATTTTTCGAGACTTGGATGTAACTTCGCTATCTGTCATAGACGGGTTGAATTGTTTTAAGAGTGTTTCTGCAAACTTTTGACCAGCGCCATAAATTCTAGCATAATTAATAATTTTTGCTTGACTCCTGGAAATCCCAACTGCTTTGGCAGTAACATTGTGCATGTCAGTCTCGTTAGATTTGGTGCCAATTAATGTCATCCAACCAAAGGGCGTAGCTCCATGAATTTTTTTATAATATGCATCTCCTATTATCGACGAGAGCCACAATTCCTGACTGTCAACATCGGCGCCGACAATATTATATCCTGGAGGCGCTTGAATCATTGCTCGTAATTCAGAACCGATACGTTCAGAATGAACGTTAGATGCAGTCATCCATGTAGGTTCTACTGCTCGTCTAGTCAACGTTCCGCATACAACTACCAAAGGTAAAATTGCTCCATAACGCATTGACTTTCTTGAACTTTTAACGCCTCGTTGTAAATACGAGTTTTCAAACCATACCGCAAACTGTGACATAATTCTGTCCCTGTTATTTCTCCAATATGAAAGCATCCTTGCAATTTTCAAAATTTCCGCAGCACTAGCATCTGAACTAGCCAATACATTTTCTGAAAACTTGTTCAAAAAATCTTTGCTCAAAGGATTACCGACATTACTGCTTTTTCCATCTTTGTGAGGTAATTTAAGGAAGTAACAACAATTATCAATAACCACATTGCACCATTGTGCACTGCCTTTGTAAATATTATTTAACTCAACAGTAGGCTTTTTCTTTTTGTTACGCCAGAATTCAGTTTTATGCAAGTCATTTTGCACTTCTTTGTCGATAGTTGATAATGTATAATTTGTTTCATCAAATGAATTTCCTATCTTCGAAAAAGAACAATGTGCTAAAAGTTGTTTTAAAGGTACTTTAGTTTTAATATCTAAATTGTTAGTGTAAGGTACTAAAATACCCCAGCCTTTATCTTTCATATGATATAAAGGATAATATTCCCATGTTAAATTTAAAAGCTTTGGAACAATTTGTTTAGAAACACTTATATTTTGAGGCCCAGGAGCCCAGTTTTCATCATTTATTTTAGGGCAAAGTTTTCTATACCAAGCAGGATACCCTGGCTTATGTGGTAATTTCAAAGGTAAAAACTTCCTTGTCTCTGTTAAATAAGCAAATTCTTTCTCTAAGGGATCTTCTTCATCTTCATCATCCGTTAAGTAGCATTGAGTTTCTAATTTTTCCTTCTTTTCTACCTTTTGTACTTTACATACTTTCTTAATTGTTTTTGAATAACATGCTTTTGCTTTAAGTGTTTGTGTACTCCAATCTTCATCCCACATCCATAGATCTTCTTTATATTTTTCATTATGCATAAGCTCGCAAACAGCATTAGCTCTATTAGCAAGAATAACTTTAGTTTCATAATTTAAATCTTCAAATGTAGTCTCTGATTCGTTTAAATATCTTTGCCAATTAGAATTTATTGGCAGATATGCTGTACCAACCTCTAACATCCCTGCTAAAGTAACAGGATGAGGAAATCTTTCTTCAAATGTTGGAAATAAATGGCATAAAACATTATGAGTTGCAATTACATCATTTGCACAATATGTCATCAAAGAGTTGAAGTCTTCTTTGATATTTGCCAAAGTTCCATTTACAAATATATCTCTGGATTCTTTGCTTATTTCAGAACCACAATAAAATTTATGAATTTCTGCTAAACTACTTAGTGAAGTTTGCATTTGTAAATTTAATTTTTCATTTGTATCCTTTGTTGAGTTTAAAATTGCTCTTTGATAGCTGTTAATTCCACCAATACATATATGAAGTGACATGGTGTCAAGAAATCTTAATCCTGTATGTTTCAACCAATACTGTTCTTTAATTTTACTTCTATCATATGATACATTATGACCAACCATAATCTTTGGCTTTTTATGAAAAGAAGTCAATTTTTCACCATTTTCAGCAGCTGTACTTTCCATTGGTATTAATTCATCTATACTGAATCGTCTACCTTCAAAATTTCTACTTAAACCATTAATTAAAGATTTTGATACCCAACCGTACCATGCTTGGTTAGTTACTGCAGTTGCAATTGTTGGTAAAGGACCTTCTTTTAAACAAACTTCCACATCAAAAATAACAGCATCTTCTAGTGGATAATCCACACTCTGTATTCCATCAACACTGTATCTTGTCCAACCTTCTTTCAATAACCACTGATTTGGCATTTGCGGTATATCTATCATAATAGTTTTTATAAGTTTTGTATAAGGTTCAACCTGTGCTTTTCCAATGTTATAAAAATGTTCTTCAATATTATCTCCTTTCAAAGGAGGTATTTTAATATCAACATCAGGTAGTCTACTCGCATCAGTAATATTTATCCCGTATAAATGTAAATCATTTTTTATAGATTGTATTTCTTTCTCTGATATTTTTTCTTCTTCAGGACAATTTTTAAATATTTGTTGATGTAATGATTTCGGAAGCATTTGTATATTAATTTCATTAATTCTTAGGTTACTTTCATTGATTTTTCCATTGTAAATTTCTTCCTGTTTATTTTTATTCTCTAATATTTGTGTATTTTTATGTTTCATTAAAACTTTTTCGTGATTATTTTTCATAGTATTCATTGGCAGGTAGAAACTCTTTTCAATATCTTTTGGTATTTCAGATAAATCTTCGCATTCTCTTGATAAAACAGTCGAGTTATTAGGAATATAA